AATGTAAAATGGTACAGCTACTTTGGAAAAGTCTGGCAGTTTCTCAAAAGTTAAGTACAGAGTTACTATAATACAACATAGATGAACTTCAAACACATTATACTAAATGAAGAAGCCAGCCCTAGCCAGTTTGGATAGGGCATTGGCCCCCAAACTGAAGGGTCCCAGGTTTGATTCAGCCAAGGACACATACCTCAGTTCCCCACCAGATTCGTGCAGGAGTCAACCATTCAATGAGTCTCTCTCACATCAATGTTTCCTTCTCTCTGTTTCTCCCCTCCTTTCCTATCTCTGCCAGAAATCGATCATTGTCTCATTAATAAAAAGATGTAAAAGGCTGGTCAACCTTTAAGCTCTAAAAAATCAGAGCCAACCACTATCTATCTAATTAAGACAATGGTAACTGAAGCAACTTCCCCATAAATAATCACATAAATCCTTATTGATAAAATAATCTGACTGTTACTGGAATTACCTAAGAGCAATGGGTGTATTCCAAACCTGAATAAATGGAATGGCAAGGCCAAAGCAAGGCATACCATGTTTCCCCGAAAATAAGACATCCCCCCAAAATAAGACCTACTTACAGGTTTCCTTCTGAGTGAAATATAAGGCATCCAAAAAAAAAATAAGCCCCCCGCCCCCCCAGGCTAAACATGAGAGATTTGGTCCACTGATTCTGAAAGAAATGGAGTCACAAGAAATTCACCAGGAAATTCAGGAATTGGATTGTTACAATGATGTTCCAGAAGATGATGACATGGTTGTCATTGAATAAATGAGTAAATTCTTGATACTGTAGGATTCACAGTTTGTCTGGTTTGTGTGACAACTACCAAACTACCGTACCGTACACAGGTAATAAATTTCCTTTATTTTCATTTAACAATAAATGTGTACCGTATTCTTCCTCATGGAAAAATAAGACATCTCCTGAAAATAAGACCTAGCTCATCTTTGGGAGCAAAAATTAATATAAGACACTGTCTTATTTTCGGGGAAACAGTAGTCCTCCCACTAGAGGTGGGCTCCCACCTGGCCCCCAATATTCCCAAATTAATACTTTTCTAGTCTCTTTCATTTGTGTGCGGCCTTCCTCAAAACCCGAACCCTGAACCAAGGGGGACGTGAAAGGGGCTCCCACAGTCTAAAATTATCAGTGGAAAAATATCCTTAGGTGGAACTTAAATTTTTAAAAATGTATTTATAAATAAATAAGAGAAGCCAGGCATAAAAGGTATGTACTGCATGTTTCCACTTATTAGTATATGAAATCTCCAGAATCGGCAAACCCGAAAAACAGAAAGTAGGTTAGTAGTCGCCTAAGGTTGAGAGAGTTGGGAGGAAATGAGGAGTTAATGGTTGTGGGGTTTCTTTTTGGGGTGATGAAAATGTTCTAAAATTGATTGTGGTGATGGTTACACTACTATGAAGATACTAAAAACTACTGAACTATGCACTTTTAATGAGTAAACTGTGTGGTGTATGAATTATATCTTAATAAAGCTGACATTTTTTAAGACTTCTATAACTTCTATTTCTACTAGTCTTCATCTCAATGGAAAAATGCTTTGTTTAAATTTGAAATCATGAACTTAAGCACTTTTATGCATAAAGCCAAAAATGTTAACTTTTTAAAAGCTTTTAATTAAATTAAACTCTACCTTAACTGATAAGCTCCACAGATCAAACTACTTTTACTCAAACTTCACAATACCCTATAATGTACTGGTGAATTCATCTTTTACTAGTGTATTAGCTCCATTTTCCTTTTTCCACTCTAGCTATGCAGTCCTATAGAATCATTATTGTGTATTATGGTTAGGAAATATAAATGAATTGTTTGCTGGGGAAACAAACATATATTAGACAGGAATGAAATGCTAAATTAACAAATAACCGTTCCCAATCTACACACATCAATTTTTCAGTATGCTTTAGACTTGGGGAAGTTTTAAAAGAAACTCATAAACTAAAGATTTGGAGTTTGGTGAGGCCTCTCCTTACACATGTCATAAGATCTTCTCAAAGTCCTGAACCAGAGCAGCAGCATCTCCTGGGAGCTGATAAGAAATGCAGAATCTTAGACCCCGCCCCAGACCTACTCAGCCAGATTCTGCATTTTAACAAGTTCCCCAGGGGATGTGTCTGCTGCACATTCAAATTTGAAAGGCACTGTCCTAAGACACTTCCTTTTCTTTTTCCATTAAGATAGCTCTAGCTTGCTGGACTAATATTTCAAAGCTTGACATACATACAGATCTGGTCCCGGGCCAGCTTGTCCTCAGTTCCATTCCTCATCTGCTCTATTCCAAGTGGTGGAGCTGATCTTTGCAGGCTGGGTTTCCCATGCAGGAATGGGGATGGGGTAAGTTCCCAGCAGCAGCTGTCTCTTCCCCAAGGCTCCAGCCCCCAGCCAGGCAACTTAAGGTGGTTCAGCCTCTGGGGAGCCAGCTATGCCACCTCCTGGAGTCAGCCAAGCCACCTCCTCCCTCTGTCCACCAGCTTAGGGGTAGCAGTAGTTTCCTGTTTGTTGCCTCATCTCAGGATTGCCTCATTGCCCACTGTCTGCATTCTCAATTCTTCATCACCTATGCAAGCATGCCCTACATTAAATTCCCTCTGTTCTAAATACTTAAAAATGGATTCTGTTTTCATTTTTGGGGCCCAGAATGATACTCCATGCATTTTAAATATTTCTCTTATGCACCACATACAGCAGAGAATTTTCTGAGTGGCTCATTGGCTTAAAGGGGAAAGAGGGGCTGTTGAACATACAGTAAACCTCAGATTTCCCACATTCTAACAATCACTAGCTATCAAAAAGAAAAATTAGTCTTAAGCTATTTGTACAGCAGATGTAACTGTATTCCGAAACTCAAGTCCTCAGAGGGTATTTTTAACACTCTACCAATCACTCCTCAATCAGAACAGCTGGTATAGCAGCTACTATTGTTTTGTTGCAGTTGTTGTTTTTGGGAGGAAGGACCCATTTCCAAAGAACAGATGGATCAAACACTGGAATCTCTGAGAGATCAAATCTTTTTTTTTTTTTTTTTAATATATTTTATTGATTTTTTAGAGGAAGGGAGAGAGATAGAAAGCTAGAAACGTCAATGAGTGAGAGACATCGACCAGCTGCCTCTTGCACACCCCCTCCTGGAGATGTGCCTGCAACCAATGTACATGCCCTTGACCGGAATCGAACCTGGGACCTTTCAGTCCACAGACCAAAGCTCTACCACTGAGCCAAACCGGTTTCAGCTGAGATCAAATCTTAATCACACTTGTAAATCACACGATCTTCCCTACACTAGAAAGATAACATGCTGGAGGACCGATCAACAGGAGAGAGCAATTGCTATCAATACTGATTAAGGTTACTTGGAGATCTTCCTAAAAACACATCTGACCCGGTCACTCCCATATTGTGGCTCACTCTTGCCCAAGGCCAAAAAACGCCCTTCAAAATCTACCTTTCCCATATCCTCTTCCTAATTCCTCTCAACCTGATGCATTCACCTTCTGACCTTCCCCAGGTGTGCTTAAACAGAAAAGTAAACTCTGTGGAAAGCCCTTCCTTCCCCCACTTAGCCTGGCAAACCCTTTCCCTCAAGATCCTGTCGTAAAGGGGACCTCCTTTCCCATGCCTCCCAGGATAATTGGATTCTCAGTCCTAGGAGCTTCCACATCACTTACCCTGTTTCCCCGAAAATAAGACAGTGTCTTATATTAATTTTTGCTCCCAAAGATGCACTAGGTCTTATTTTCAGGGGATGTCTTATTTTTCCATGAAGAATATGGTACACATTTATTGTTAAATGAAAATAAAGGAAATTTATTACCTGTATACGGTACAGTAGTACGGTAGTTGTCACACAAACCAGACAAACTGAATCCTACAGTATGAAGAATTTATTCATTTATTCATTGACAATCATGTCATCATCTTCTAGAACATCATCATAACAATCCAATTCCCGAATTTCCTGGTGAATTTCTTGTGACTCCATTTCTTTCAGAATCAGTGGACCAAATCTCTCATGGTTAGCCTGGGGGGAGGGGGGGGCCTTGTTTTCGGGGGGATGCCTTATATTTCACTCAGAAGGAAACCTGCAAGCAGGTCTCATTTTCGGAGGATGTCTTATTTTCAGGAAAACACGGTATTATGCCCTACAGTCAAGTACACAGGTGTCCATTTCCTACAGACTGGGAACCCCTGGGTGGAGAAATGGCCTTCCACCTTGGTATTCGGACCAAGGTTCCTATCCGGGTCCACATTTACTACCTGTGATACCCTGTGCAAGCCCCTTAACTTCTCTGCCTGGATTTCCAATTCCATAAGACGGGGATAGATAACACCCAACTCCACGAGCTATCACCAGTACTAAAAGAGCTAACCCACGTTAAGTGCTGTAAAGTTAACCCAAGAAAAGTGCCTGGCACATAGTAAGCACTGACGACTTGCAATCGTTCTAGTTAACACTGTTACACATGCAACAAAAGAGGTGTTCAATGCCTATTTGCTGGATAACTGGAGCACATCACACTAAACCCGCCTGGTAGCATGCTGGGGCTACCCATTGAGAGAAATGGCTCCCCCCGGTAAAAGTTAACAGCTGAACTTAACTGGCCCGGGGACAAAGCGCACTGCAGCAGGAGGAGGAAGTCGGTGCCAGCTGGATCTGCCGAGGCTGCCCACAGACCAGCCTGCCCTCAGCCACCTGCCCAGCCACCTGCCCGAGGAAGCCGTGCTCTAACAGTGAGGGCTCCCTACAGCAAAAACCAGAAGCAGTTCTCAACGGGAACCGCAACGGGAACACAAAGGGTGCGACTCTCCTCGTGCAGAAAGGAAATACATCTTTCTGCAGCAGCTAATAGTTGGCGTCTGGAGCTCTCCGTGGAGATCTAGGTGCCAAGCAGGTGCACAGCCAGGGAAAAACCCTGTCTCCGCTTCCCCGAGGGGAGAGGGAGAGGAGGTCACCAAACGGAATTCCCATCCCGTGAAGGGACGAGCCTCCACACCGGCATCCAATTGGGTTTTTTATGAGGAGACCACAGGTGAGTGTCTGCAGAGGACCCAGCGAGAAATGGCCTGACCAGTTATCAGAAACGGGCAGAACCCCAGGCTCCGGGAGCGCACGCGTGGGGCGAAACCAAGCGCCCCCATTTCTGGTGCGCTCGACCCCCGACCCCGCCTCGAGGCCTGAGTTTCCTCCCGGACTGGGCGGCGCGGGGCTTCCTCTCAGCCCCCGCCCCGCGCGGCGCCCACCTGCGCCCCGGCCCAGGGTCCCCGCCGCCGCCTCGCCGGGAGGCGCGCTCAGCCCGGGAGCCCAGCCCGTTACCCGGCGGAGCGCGCTCCGCCCCGGCAGCTGGACCCCGGGCCGGGCAGGGCAGGGCCGGGCCGGGCCGGGCCGGGCCGGGCCTGGGCGGCCGCTCCGGCCGAGCTGCGGGCCTCACGGGGCTGCCTCGGCGTGAGGGGCGCGCTCCCGGGCCGCTGCCGCGTCTCACCTTCTGGCGGATCTGGCCCGACGTGGACACCTTGCGGATGAGTTTCTGCGGAGAGCCGGGCTCCGCCTCGGGTTCGCTGTCCGACGACTCCTCGGGCGGCGGCGGCGGAGGCTGCTGCGCTGAACCCGGCGAAGGGGCGCCCGCCGCCGCCGCCATGCTGCCCGGCCAGCGCGCGCACGGCGGCTGGGGGCGGGCGGGGGCGGGGCGTGGTGGGCGGGGCCTTGTTGGCGGGGGGCGGGGCCGGGCCTAGGCGGGCCTCCCGCTCTGTCCCTCCGCCTTTGGACCGCCCCCCGCCCCCAAATTGTTGTCCAGAACCCTGATCTTAGCATTTGTTTGTCTTCCTAGGACACAATTTCCGTTTTGTTTTGTTTTGTTTGTTTCGTTTTGTTTTGTTTTGTTTTGTTTTGTTTTGTTTTCTATCCATGCTCACTTTTTCTTAATCTTTAACCTTCCCCTTCAATAATGTAAGTATGGGGCTGGGGGGTAAAAGGGAAGGGTGAAAATGGGAGATATCTGTAATACTATCAATAATAAAATATTTTTTTAATTTTTTTTTGTTGTTAAGAATTTAAGTGACCTTAGGAGACCCGGGACCTGCATTGTGTCGCCAGCATCTAAAGCCGAGTCTAGCTTTTTGTAGTTACTTGCACGATAAAACAGTTGGGCAGTAGATGAATGCAGGAGAGAGAAAAAAGTTACTTGGACGGACCTCTGGGATGCCGGAACACAATGCCATCTGAGAAGGCTCCTGGAGAAAATGATGTTTAAGGAAAATGCCTGCAGGAGTTATCTCTAACTAATGGTAACAGGATCCCAGGATCTGTGCTCTAGGCAGAGAGACCAGATCCTGCAAAGGCCCTGAGAGAAGTAAGAACGAGTCTTCAAAAAGAAGAAAAGAAGAAGCAGCAGCTGTAGTCTAAGGGAATGAAAATAACAGGAGGAGATAAGCCTAGGTCAGGCAGGTCAGACAAGACTGTGAATCTGATAATGGGGTGAGTCTTTTTCCTGACTCCTGAGGGCAACTGGAAGCTCAGCGACGGGCTGGGTCACAAAACTGGGACTTGTGAATCCAGTTTTGAGGTAATCAGGGCAGGTAGCTACCCTGGATTATTGGGAGTGGCTGCCGACATAAAGAAGTGGACTCAGGATGGGAGGGATCTGTAGGCAGAAGCAGAGGCCCTGGGCTCTGGGTAGGTTGGTGGACCCCTTCACTTGGGGGCCTGCAGTTGGAGATGAAATCAGTTGAGCTTCTGCTGCCTTTGGGACATCCAGTTGATAAGAGCTTGGTGCCACCTGAGAGGAGAAGATCTTTAGGAGACTGCACAAATAGGTGTCCCCATACGCTTTCAAAAGACTGCTGGAAACAGCTGACCCTGGCCTGCCCACCTGTCAGCCTTCTCTGGCCCCCCCTGCACATGGCAATGCTTTCTAGAGGCAAAACAAATAAAGACCCCCAGAGGCCACAGAGTAGCATCCAGCATGGGTACATGGCCAGGGGAATGGACTCATATACAAGGCAGAGCAGGTAAGGGTCTAATTCAGAAACACTCTGGGACAAGCCAAGGGCCCCTGGTATACTATAATCACTAGCTACAGGTGGCTACTTCAATTTCAATTAAAATTAAATTTTTAGTTCCTCAGTGATACTAGCCACATTTCAAGTGCTCAGTAGCCACATGTGGTTTAGAAGCTACCATATAGACAGCACAGATATAGAACATTTCTGTTGTCGCAGAAAGTCCTACAATGCATGAGGACAATGACAGTGTCCTTGTGCTGACCATGGGGGACATGCCAGACTCTTGACCAGCAAGTCTAGTCTTCACACAAGCCACACAGATAAGCTTGATGGTCTTATTCTAAAAGGCTTAGATACTTCTCCAAAGGAGTGAGAGAGATAGGATGTATAACCTGGACCAGCTGCTCCTTATCAAGAGAGAGGGAGCAGGACTACTTGTGATGCTCCAGGGGATGAGGCCCTCCTGAGCATGAGCAGCCCTAGAGGAGATGAAGAAGATGAACTTGGTTTTGAACAAACTGAGTTTGCGGTCCCTGGGTGTGCTGTTGCCTACATGTGTCAGAAGCTCAGGGGACATCTGGGCTCTAGAATCCCTCATTTTAGAGGTAAAAAAGCCATGAGCATGAATGTGAGTACAAGTCAAAGTTGGCAGGTAGATACTGTGGCTGGATGGAAGTAGATTTGCAATTCTGAAAAAGTACCAGAAATTGTCACAGCCAAGAGGAACCTAAGGAGATATGACAACTAAATGTCATATGGGGTCCTGGAACAGAAAAAAGGACATTGGGTAATTAACTAAGAAAATCTGAGTAAAGAATGGGCTTTAGTTTAATAATAAAATGTCAGTGTTGAATCATTAAGTATGGCAAATGTAGCCTCCTCATGTTAATAATAGGGAAAATGGTATGGGTGGGAGACTCTGCACTATTTGTCAACCTTTCTGGAAATCTAAAACTATTTGAAAATAAAATGTGTAATCTTTAAGAGCGTATAGCTTCTTCTGATGAGCAAAGAAGCCATTATGTTCACTGTAATGGCTGTTCCCTTGGAGATCTCCCTGGAGTGGCAGACCTGTAAGGGCACATTCTCCCCACTGCCGCTTTATGGTCTGAGTCATGCTGTGAATCATCTCTAACAACATGCTGCTCCCTGAGTTTACCCCACCTTCAGGGCATATCAAGGTGGCAATAATAACACACTTCACATCCAACCTAATCCTTCTTCTCGACCTGTCAATGTAGAAGCGCACCTCTTGTCAAAAAGAACCGCTTCCCGTTAGAGGAGAAAAACAATGCACTTGAAAAAAAACAGGGGGATGGTCTTATTCTCCTCTGAATAGGGTTATGATTGACATGTGGAGCAGGACATTTATTCACTGGATGTGGTATACAGTTTCCCTGGCCCCTAGGCATGGTGGCAACCTGAACCACCCCCATACATTTCCAAATGTGTCCAACTCCCCATCTATCCCACCCACAAGGATCAGTAAACTAAACCATTAGGGCTGTGACAATAGATTGGGAGGGAAGTGATGAAACATGTTGAAGGAGTAGAAAACAGACACTCTAAAAAGAAATTAACTGCACATGCGATACAACTGTAGGGAACTACAGACACATACACACACAGACACACACACACACACACACACACACACACGAATAAGTCAAACTGGGGAAATCTGAGTAAGATGGGTGGATTGTACCAATGTCAATATCCTGGTTAGGATAGTACTATAGATCTGCAGAATGTTACCCCTTGGGGGACAGGTAACTACATGTAATCTACAATTATCTCAATAAAATTTTCAATTTAAGAAAAAAACTTAAGGGCAGCCATTGTAAAGTCATAAATGCTAATCTCCCCCTCTGACCCTCCAAACTCTCATCCACGTCAGCATCAGAAGGTGAACGAAGGTCTGGTTATAGAATCAGGGTATCCAGACTTCAAATCTTGACTCTGACTCTCACTAGCTGTATGACCTTGGGTAAAGTACATAATATCTCTGAACTGCAATTTCCTCATCCAACAAATAAAATGGCAAGCATTTGTGGAATGATTAGATGTAATATGGAAAATGGCCAGCATCAAGTAGGTGCTCAATACATAGCAGGGATCCCTACTTCTCCAGGCCTTTGGATGTGGCTGCAGAACATTGTCCCAAGTTCCCAGCCACCACTTTCTCCATGCAGCAACCTCAACTCCTTTGTACCCTGTTTCTTGCACTGCACCTGCCTGGGAAACCTTGGGTCAACATCCGACCTACACGCGAACATCCTGTCTCCTGGCAGCAGGGAGGACGCCTGCAGACACAACGCCATGTGTGTGCAGGCTCAGCCAAGTTCCACATCCTTTTTGGGCTGGCCAGCCATGCACTTCCTGCTCCAGCCCCCACACCCTCCCAGGTGGCCAACTGCAGGCCATAAACTAACCAGCACCTGGAAATCTGAAAGTCAGCCATTTTGGTACCAAAATAACCTGGAGGGCAAGGACTGTTCTGACCTCTGGTCTCTAGGGACTGGCCTGCTCACTCTTCTCTCTGTCTCTCCCACCCACACAGTTGCAGAGGTCAGGCCTAATAAGGTCCACCCTGACTTAGGATATCCTGGGGTCAAGCAATGCAGGAACCGGCAAACTGCTTCTCTCAGCAGGCACTCTGGGGAAGACTCCCAGGTCCTTGGCTTACCCAAGATCTTAGTGCGAGCCAGAGGGAGGAGTGGCAGCAGGGGAAGGGCTCAGAGGAGTCTACCACCCTGATCCTCCCTTTCCTGAGTATACCAGGAGAAAGGCCTGGGTTGGAAGGGTCACATGCTGTGTCCTCTTACCATGGGAATAAAAAGAAAGAAGAAATTGGTTCTGACCTTGCAAACCCACAGACCAAAGGCCCAATGTTCTTCCTGTTTTTTATTATTATTATTATTATTATTATTATTATTATTATTCCTCTAGAAATGAATATTCATCTCTGTCGTTATAAGTGCCTCAACCTCAACCCAAGAGTTAAAACCTCACTTTGTGAATGTGGACTCCTGTCCAAAGTCCCCAGATGCTTGGCATCTGGCAGAACCACCCCAGCTCCGGGCACCTTCATGTGCACAAACCTCACACTGCTATCTAGCCCTCTGCCACTGCTCTTGGTGCTGGAGACCTGACCCCAAGTGTCACTCCTTACACGACCCTTCCCATTCACCCTCCAACCTCCCGTGAGTGGGTTGAACTGTGCAGAACTCTCTAAACCCCTTTTATCCTGCTCCTTGGAGCATGGGCCAGAGCTACCCATCCCCCAACTCCCTCCAGGCCACCAAGAGAGCTCTCCCTGCATCATTAGCAGGGCCCCAGGCTGGGAACCACAGGCTAGGAGGGGACTCCGTGAAGAACAGGGCCCTGGCATCACCTTGGTTTTCCCTCCTCCCCCATGAAGCTTCTCCTTTTTCCCTGACACAAAGCACTCCCTCTCTCCCCCAGCCCTTCTAAGCCCAGTCTCCATGAAGATAGTCTAACCAAGAAGCCTGTCAGGCTTGCAATGAATCCCCTCTTCTAGGGTTACACGGTCTTAGGGTTGGCTCTGCCATAGTGGGCCACAGGGCACTGATCCACCTGACCAAGACCAGAAGCTTCTGGTGCTGAGCCACAGCTCCTGGGCGGGACCCCAGGAGCCTCTCCAATTTCTGCCCAACCCAGAAATGGCAGCTCAGGTTCTTCCTTTAATTCAGTTCTCTGAGCCACTCCAACATCCTTCAATGCATTCCTTTCCCACCTTAAACCAGTCAAGTCTGATTTTATTGCTTGCATTCAATAGAAACTTAGCCAACAACCCAGAGCTCAAACAGGGACTTGGCCCCCAAAGTTGAATCAGTGAAGTGTGTTTGGCCTGCATTTGTCCTCTGTCTGGTTACTCTCAGGAGGATCTTTTGTAGACCTGAAACTAGAATTGGTCAATGTGATCAGAAACACTGCCTCTCCCCCATGTATTTCCAAGGAAATGGCTTACACAGGACCCTGGGAGAAAGCCCAGGACACACCAGGCCCCGCAGGTAACACATCCATTTCAGCTGCCTTCTCACCTTGAAGAACCAGAGCTGAGCCACTGCAGGGAAGGTTGGCCTCTTTTTCAGATTCTGCCCTCCCCATCCCAGACTCAGGTACCCTAAAGGCTGCAGCTTCTGTTAGTAACGCCACTCATCCTCCCCAGTAAGCCAGCCTGACTCAGGACCCAGCAGAACAGACAAACTTTATTTCTGTGAAGAGACTCACACTTTGGCATGTAGCATAACTAAAGGGCTAACTGTAGGGCTTTGCTCATCGGACTGCTAATATGCCATTTCCGGTCCTCAGTCATCTCTTCACTCGTCCGCAGCTGTCTCCTGGTCTTTCTTCCCTTCCTCAGGATCTCCTGAGTCTTTCAGATTTTGACGAGCAAAATCCTCAAAAACCAAATTTTCATCCTGAAAACTAAAATTAAACAAAGAACATTTTGATCATGGCACACTTGCAACGAAATCTCGAGCAAAACTGACCTTCTTTTTGCAACAAAGGGACCGATGGAGAGTTTACTGCATGAAGAACACAGAACTCCACCCTTCTCATAGCTGTTCATGGTAAATCTCTTTAACGGGCAAAAAAGAGCAAACACCCAAGAGCAGGCTACACATCCACTATATCTGTGCATGCATGGACATGTGAGTGCATATGTGTATACACATGTGTGCATGTGTTTGTATGTGTGTCTTAATACTAGGAAACAAAAGGAAAACTAGGGTCTAAACCTGTGTCAAGAGCATGAGGTGTGTACAAAATGACCTTAAAAGAGGTTTTGCCGGATGAGAAAGTCACAGAACACAGGGCAACATAGGGCAGTGGCTCACCTTTCCTTTGCCATGGCTGTGTGGCATGGAATGAAAAAGAGAGAGATTAGCATAAATTTTGTATAATGGCTGCACCTGGAAAATGTCTTTCTTGTTTAGTGATTTATATTTTGGCGGGGGGAGGAGGTCTAGATACATGCATTTCATGATAATGGCATGTAATTCCTTCTTTGCCTTTTCCTGCTCAGAAAGATTTCTCCCTGAATTTTTAGCCATTGCTTCCTTTTAAAGTGCCACAACCCTCACCTGCTCAAGGGGACCACGCCACAATCTCACCTCTAGATCCCTGTCCCTGGTTGGCCTCACTCTCTCTGATGTCACTCTTCTCTTTGAAAGCGTCTCTCCCTACGTGCCCCTAGGACTCATTCTAGTTCAGAGTCCCCAGGTGCTGTCAGGATCCAGGCTGGCCCACCTCAAATAGTCCACATATCCAGCTCTTGAGGGGTGATCCCTGGGACTCATGCTTACCCAGCATCCCCAGCAGTTGGGGTGGGCACTAGACCTTGAGAACTATCTCTGTCCCCTCCTCTCCATTTCTGTTAGCATATTGATTTTTATTTTGTTGGGTTATATTCTCATGTATGTTTTGCAGCCCCAGTTAATTGCTATTCATTTGGGGTGTTTTTTTTGTTGTTCTTTTTTAGCTTTCTGCCTCCCTAGTAAAGTGCTGGTGCAACCCTCATTGGTGAGCCAGGAAGAGCGAAGTGATGCTAAACAACTCCAGATGGTTTCTCGGGAGCCCCGTGCTGATGGCAAGCCACTGCTCTTGTGTCTCGTGCCCACCTGGAAGCCAGCCCTGAGAGGGAAGTGTCTGTGTGGGCTGCTAACCACAGGAAGCCTACGGAGAGGCTGACTCATCAAAACATCCCCTGGGCAAGAAGCCTCCTGGACCCCCTCAGCGCTGAGCATAAAATTATACTAAGTGGGACCATCAGCCCGGAAGAGAATCCAATCAACACGCTGTGTTCCACGTGGATGCTCTTGACAAGGGACAATAAAAGCATGGTAGCATTTCTACAGCACTTACTACACGCAAATTACTTGGCCCCTGGCCCTGGCAGAGCTTCTCAGCCACAACCTAACACTTCCACTGCTTGGAGTCTATCATCTAGGCCAGTGAGCAGGGACCTAGGCAAGTAAGATGTGAGCACACATCTATGAATAAAACTGAGTGACTCATAAATCTCTGGAAATCAGAATTATGAGGCCATCGGGTGACTTGTCCTTTTTCCCAGAAATCTCATAGTATCAAAGACCATTGGTGAGCCCAGATGTGTGATATGTTCGACGTAAGGACCAGAATGATTGGAACATGGAAACGTCATACCCAGAAAAGGAATAATGCCACTTCCCCCCAGCTCAGCCATAACGTCTGTTCACAGCTGCAGAAAATAATTTCACATAAACTGTGACATCTCCTCAGGCCACAGTTTTAAAATAGCCTTTGAAAATGTCCTTGAAAGAGACCAGAATGCATTTCAATCTCACGTAGTTCAAAATAGTATTTTAATGACACAAGCATAAGTGAATAAAATAAACATGGCTAGACTGTATGCTTCCCCCAGGGGAAGGTTTTGGCAAAGCACACTGAGCATTTGAATCCAAACTATTTGGAAAAGATGCTTGGAGACAAAATATTTTTGAGACAAACCCAAATGAATCTGGAGCCCCTTCTACTGTTCAGATGCCATTTCATTATCCATTTCATAAAAACTAGATATAAAGTATAAGAAAAAAAGAAATCCTGCTTGCTTACACCACTTTGACTTCAAACGTTCCTTACTGCTGTAACTGTGAGATTCCCTTTCAGGCAGGTCCATTCCTCTGTCCTGACAACTACGCCACTTAACACTCAGTGGAGAATTTTCCTCACAATTTCCCAGGTGGCACCTGTACTATTTTTGCTGCTTCATCAATCTTTTTTAAAGAGAGCTCTGTTGATATCCAATCCACATAGCAGACAATTCACCACTCACGTGTACAGGCCAATAGTTTTTAGAACATTCAGAGTCGCATAGGTATTGCTTCATTTACTTTTAATACCTGTATGAGAGCCAATGGAGTTACAATTCAAAGGAGCCACGGTGTCAGGACCCCAGCCTGTGCCTCTTTCCTGGTATTTTCTAACTTCTCATCACAATCTCCACTGTCAAGAACACTCATCTTCCAAAGGCCTGCCAATGTTTCCAAATGAAATGCAAAAGCCTCAGGCTCTCAAATTTATTTTTCACCTTAAACTTTCTTTACATCTAAACCTAGGTCTGTTCAACAGGAGAATCTATCCTTTTAAATCATTCCTGACAAAACCTAACAAGATTGCCATGTCTGAGGCCAGGCTGCCACATCCTCCACACCTGGCTCAGGACAGAGCATGTGAGCACGCCTTCTCGGGGCCAGCCACCTTGAGGATGACATGGCCATGCCCGCCTGTGCTCACACGTGTGGTCAGGAAAGACTAGCAGTGAAGTTGTCATCAATCTGAAAGTTGTGAATGACAGAGAAAGTCAGGACGCTGCGGACTGACCTGGGTCCTCCGGCTGCGGGTGCATGAGGCGGAACGGCACTTCAGTGGCCACTTCACTACAAAAGAGAAGAACGCAGATTGTTCTCTCACACACAATTATAAATTGCACAGGATTCATTGAGATTTGGGCAAAACAAACCAGATGTCAGGAAGTGATCAAGAAGGAATTTTAAATGTATTCCCTGGCAGGTGATCCAGAAACTTCACGTAGGCATGGCCGAGGCATCTAGGATTTTCAGGTTCCTTTCCTCCTGGTTATTAGTTTCAGTGACACCATATTGGGGTGGAGGACAGGTAGAGAGAGAATAGTTTTGAAAAATATCCTTTGCAAAAATGTACACAATTTGTATGTGTTACATCTATGTAAGGCTGGTGGGTTGGTGATCGGGGATGCGTCTCTTGAATAGAGAGTAGAATAAAGAACAGAGATCGCCAAATTCCAGAAGTTAAAGGGCTTTGGGGCAGATTGGAATTTATATAAAAAGAAGGACGGAGTCAAAATCGGTTTGGCTAAGTGGATAAAGAGTCAGCCTGCGGACTGAGGGGTCCTGGGTTCGGTTCCGGTCAAAGGCATATACCTTGGTTGCGGGCACATCCCCAGTGGGAGGTGTGCAGGAGGCAGCTGATCAATGTTTCTCTCTCATCAATGTTTCTAACTCTCTATCTTTCTTCCCTCCTCTCTGTAAAAAAATCAATAAAATACATTTAAAAAAAATAAATTTTAAAAAAAGAAGGAAGGGAAGGAGCCAGGAAGAAAAGCAGAAGGGAAATCTAGACAAAGGGAGAATGGAAAGGGTGTGTGAGAGTCTGTGTGTATGAGAGAGTGTGCTTCACCTAGGACCCACTACCTCCCACCCCACGGTTACCAATTTGGTCAAAGCACATGTTTACAAGGCCATTGTCACCATGGCCCAGTACAGGTGTACAGATGGGGTCTAGAAGAGGCGTGCCCTGGTTCCAAGTGAGGGAAGGAGATAGTAAGTCAGGGTGAAGGAGTATGTAAGTTCAGAGCCTGTCTCCAACATGTCTCACCTGCTGCCTCTTGGCGCCTGGTATGAAAGGCAGCTGTCACTATTCATAATAGCCAAAAGGTGGAAACATCCCAAATGTCCACCAAAAGATAAAAGGAACACAGAATGTGGCATATCCACACAATTGAATATTATTTGGCCATACAAGAATGAAGCCCTGACACACGCACCAACATGATGAACTTTGAAAACACTATGCTGAGCGAAAGAAGCCAGACACCAATGGACAAATATTATCTAATTCTGTGTACAGGAAATGTCCAGAATAGGCAAACTTTTGGAAATAGAAAGCAGATTAGAGGTGGCCAGGGATTAGGGAGAGGGGCAAATGGGAGAGAATACAGGTTTTTCTCTTGGGATAGTAAAAATGTACAGGAGCTCAGTGGTGGTGACAATCATACAACACTGTAAATACACCTGACACCACGGAATCAGACACTTTCAAGGGGTTAAAATGGTAAACCTCATGTTATGTATATTTTATCAAACACCCAGCCACACAAAGGCAGCTGCATGGAGTGTGCCGGTTTCCTGAGTGTGTGTGTTTGTGTCCTTGCCCAGGTGGAGGCTCAGCTGTGGTCTCAAAGAAACATCCTCACCTCTTGGCCAAGTTTTGCATGATGCACCTGAAGGGCAGAGGGCATGGTTTCATAACGGCTCTGAGCACAGCTGCCAGGAAACCAGGCCCCATCGTGACTGTTTTGAACCCTAGGTTTGTTCCTTTGATACCCTGGAATCAAGCGGAGAAGGAAGGTGACAAGGCTTACCTGGAGGTGAACTCTCCCAGAAAGCTAGGAAACAAAAGCAGACAGGGCTGTGGTGACTGCTCACCATGGTAGCATGGCCCCATTCCCCATGATTTAGAGGAGGGACCTGTCCCAGTCCTGTCCTTCACGCACAACTTTGAGGATCTTTGTGTCCCTGAATATTCAACTCCACTATTCCTCTCCCCTTGCGATTTCTCAAGTGGATTAGTTCAAGTGAGGATGCACTTAGGTTCAAGCCCTACTATTTAAGAAGAGACCACAGATCAGAATTTCTCTCTTGGCCACGAAGATTATTGTAAGAGAAACTCTTCTTTGCTTTACATCCTCTTGGAGAAAATGAAAGAAAACACTGAACCCCTTGAAAAACACACAACAAATACAAACACTGTTAACAAAATTTGCAAAATCAACTTATGTTCTACTTTGTTGCCCCCAACCAAAATTTGGGCAACTCTTTACTCAGAATTATGGAATAAAAAAAAAAAATTAAAAAAATTATGGAATCTATTCTTAGACATGTCTTTGATGGTTGAACTAACCAAGGCTCATAGAATTAGAAGCCAGAGCCATTGGCAATAGAATTTGAAAAGTAAAATGAGAATTTGAAGTTTTTCCTTTTTAAAAATATGTTCTTAAAATTAATTTTAGAGAGATCAGAAGGAAGAGGGAGGAGCTTCCTCCTGCACGCCTCCTACTGGAGCTCAAGGTCACAACCCCAGCATGTGCCCTGACCAGGAATTTGTACCACAACCTTTTGTGCATGGGACAGGCTCATTGACCAGGGCTCAAGTTTTTCTCTTTTGGAAGAGGTTTTAAAAATGGATAAAATTCATTTTATTAAAAAATATAAAACCATTTTCTCAGAATTCTGAGATATCTGTGCTCTTGAATGGAAAGGAAACTCCCAAATCCTGTGACTACACATTGGGAAGGGATGGAAAGATCTCTACCTATGGACAGATGGTTCCCTGAGATCTAGGAGAGTTTCCTTGATAGCCACCACTCTTTCTGGAGGTTCAGTACCACACTGATCTCATCATCTTTTTTTGCATGCCAACTTCCACCACAGGAGCATAGGCACACCCATTCTTGTCACGTGGTACTATCAGTGCACATATTTCATCATCCACTGTTCTACCTTTTTCCATGTGCTGTTCTAGCAGACAGAATTATGAAACTAAATCAACAGAGTCTAAAACTCTACTCGGTAATCAGTAGAATGTGTGGCCTTCCTGTGCTTTCTGTCTCCCCATCATTCAGGAAGGAAACAATTTAATCAAAGGCCAAGACAAGGCCAACAGAGTGGTGGGACTTGTACACTCACCCTGACACTGTGAGCTTCACCTTGACCTGGTAAGACACCAGGATCCCAAAGACGGTCCGGTCTATGCCCTCCTTTATGCTGCACAAACAGAAAGGAAAAGTAGAAGAATGCAGGCGAGCAGAAGAAAGCAAGGACTGGGAAACCAACCCCTCATCTCCACGCAGGCACACCATCATGGGGCATCTTCTCAAGGAACTGGTGAACTCAACCAAGCTGTCAAAGTCCTAGAACTTTCTAGACTTGGGACACAGGGATTCCTCTCCTCCTTATAGCTGATGTTTCCGCTCTGGAAGTTCAAGAACAGGGTGTGCTTCCTGGTTCTCCCTGCTCTGCCTTGCACTGAGTCATCTCCTGAGGACTCACATAGTGCTGGAGGCAAGATTTGTGTCCTCATGCTTGATTTTCCCATCCAAGGCGATGCCCCTCCGTTCTCGGTTGTTGGCCAGCAAGGGCACCAGCGTCAGCGTCGTGGTCAGAGTACTGTTTGGCGGCACTTTTTCTCTGCAGGAAGATAATCAGAGAGGCGATTTGGCTAATTGCTCTCACAGCCATAAAGCCACCAGGAGTCCCTGTGTGCCATCAAGCATGTTCCAGATCAAAGCT